TTTTATCGAGGAAAGCGCGAATCGGTATCTGGGGCTATTCAGGATTCCGGGTGTTTTTCTTATGTTCTTCTTATTCGGTTGCATGCCCCCCGATCGTTGCAGCACTAGCAGTAGCAGGTGCTGTGGTGGGCGTTTTGTCTTGGGGGCGTGGCACATGTTGCGTGCACTTAATGATGCGTAATTATTCACTTAGTTGGTTATGCCACAAAAATGATGATGACGATGACGATGACGATGACGTTGTGGGCCTGGCACCGGTCCCTTGATTGCAAGCGTTTCGTTTCCCCGCTAATTGCCCGAACCACGATCCCAAAAGATGCCGTGACGGGGGCAAGGGATACCAAGGGAGGCACTCTCTAGGAACGGCAAGGGGGCGGGGGGAAAGAGAGGGAGAGAGAGTGCCGTAAAAGGTGTCTCACATTCATGTGTGTGCCTTGTGGTGCCGCCCCAAAGTGTTTTGCTTTTATCACATTTTTGTGTAATTCTCACGTGATTCATAAGCGGGCGATTAGCGTTAACTAAGTGGTAAGAGCCAAGAAGGTAATAATGCTGTCGAAAAGACACGGATAGACAGAGGGAAACCCAATGAGGGAGAGAGAGAGAGAGAGAGACAGAGAGGAAGCAGGAAATGAAAAGGCAGAAAATGCTGGAAATCAACAAAGAAGAGTCGAAAATTGAGTAGAAACTAAATTGATTTATAGATTCGAAAAAGAGTTCGATAAATGATCGATAACGTATCGATAATTTTATCGCATTATCCTAAATTTGAACTGATTATACATCAAACATGCTCGTACCTGGAATTCCCATGACCTTTGATTTATAGAGAAAAGTCTGTTAAGATGAGACGTCACATTACGTACCGATCTGTTGACTGCCAGTCCCGATATTCTACTCGATAAACAATCACCGAACGGACCTGAGTTGAAGATCAAGATCAGCGAAATGAGAACGAAATGAGACTGTGTTCTAGTACTCCAAAGTATACGCTCAAATCGATGGCCTGACTTTGGAATAATAGTAATGCAAATATAAATATATAGGCGACATCTAGCCAACCGACCGAGGAGCACTGCCGCATGTCGCTCCGAGACCAAGCTCTCTCTAGTCTCAAGAATTTATTTCTTCATAAATAAAGTTCATTGGATGTCATCGTTTCAGGGCGGACATCTTTCCGCGGGTTGGTTGGAAATGCCAGAATCCCGACAGGAAAGAGACAGACTGTTTTCAGCGTATTTACGGCTTCGTCCGACCCTACTCTACCCACTCCTCCTTTATGCCTTTGACTCTATACCTGATGCCGTTTTGCACTGGCTTTTTGTTGAGTGACAAACGCAGAATGACAGACAGGCAGACACAAGGGAGGGCATGCTCTCCCACTCGAAGCATTCAACTACTCTCTCTCCCTCTCCCTCTCTCTTTCTCTGTTTATCTATGTGTGTGTGTGTGTGTAGGTCAAGTGCAACCATTGACGAATTGTCGCCGGCTCAAATCGTGTTGTTCTCGTTTGTGTTTATTTTACACAATTTCGTATTGCATTTGACAGGCGATTGACATAAAAAAAGTACAAACGTATCCACACAAAGATACATCATATGTACACGTGCAACCCGAACAACACGAAGAGCTGCACGTGCCATGGCACTCGCTAGCATTCACACGGACACCCACAAGTCTCTCGCTCGTTTGCTCTCCAGCATTCTCTCATCTGGAAAATGGACTCCATTTACCAAAGGTTTCCGGCATTCGTGTTCTTTGGACACGGTTTTTTTTTGTTTTTTTGAGATTACGAAGGTCTCCGACCTGTCGCCTATGACCGGAATTCCGAATATACGCATTTCTAAAACAATTTATCTGTTGCCTTGTGGGTCTTGTCGTTGGAGCGTTCTCTAGGAATGCATCCTAGGAAGTAACCTTGTCTGATTACACTATTTCTATGTCTTTCTCGCTTGCTCTCTCTCACTCTCTCTCTCTCTCTCCACCTCCCAGAGCATCATCGAAATTGCTCGACTGTTCTTCTATAAAGAAGACTGGGCACCCGTTTCCATTCTCCTTAAGATTGAATAGCGTTCCGATCCCTCTCCCAGAGAAGTAAACTCCCGTTCCATTCCATTCCGTTCCCTTCCTTCCACCTGGAAGAAGAACAAACGCCATTTATCCGCTTGTCATAATCATTATCCAAATCATTATCGTCTTCCATGGCCCTCTTTGCCTCTTCCACGAATCATGCTTGTGTGACGTCACTGCCAGAAAGTGCTACGTGCCGATGCCGAAGCCTCTGTCGCTGTCGCCGTCGCTGTCGCTGGCGAAGTTGCCGTTGCCGTTGGCTTCTCAGTCACCATTGGCGTCGAATTTCACACGCTGAAACTTCGTTGGTATCGTTTTTGTTGGTGGCTTCGTTTCGTTTGTTGTCGTTTGGCTTTTCGGCTTCTCGATTCTTCCGAACGTACGCACGCACTCGGTCCGAGAGCAGGCGACGACAGGCAGACAATTAGGGAATGAGAGAGTGAGTGGCCGTGGGAGGGGGAGGAGGACGAGTGTGTATAGGAAGTGGGAGAGGTTTATGGTTTGCGTGGGAGTGTGAGGGAGAATGCGGTAGTGCAAGGTATCTCTAACCGAAGGTACCGCCTGTATTGTATCTCTCTCTCGGCCTCTCTTCCATCCACCCAAAAGTGAATGGGTGCCTTACCTTCTATTTAATTTACCTTGGCATGTGACAGAGCTTTCTGTCGTGGGGTGGGGGACTGTGAGTGAGAGTGTGAAAAGGACTTTAAGTGGGACTGCGGTGAGTGAAAGAGAGAGGGAGCATGTGTGCCCATGACTTAAACAGCTGTTCCTTGCGGTTTCTGCTACCCCTCCAGCCCACCCCCCCCTGACTAGGTGTCGCCCCCAGGCGACGATTTGTGCTACTGGCTGCTACCTCTGTGATATGTCAATTCTTAGACACTACGCCCCGTGCGACCCCCCGTTGACAGGACACTTCCATTCTTCTTGCACCTGCATACGATTATGCACCCGCTGAACACCAGCCCCGCCCCCGCCCCCGCCACCTTTGATTTGCAAATAACGGAGAAAATAAAAGGAGAACAACAGAAAATAATAAATTCGTGCCAGTTTTAAAAATGCAAAAAAAAATAATGAATTAAATAAAATAAAAACTTAAGGGATTTGTGAGGAAATCGAAAAACCCAATGCAAGCGGAAAAAAAAGAAAATTGCTGAAAAAACAACCATGTTTCAAAATTCGCGCGAAAAAATCCAACGAAAATCGCTCCAAAAATCGTCCTGAAAAGTCGACTCAAATCGCGCGTTTTATAGAAAAAAGGTGTTCCGAGAAACGCATCAAATCGTGCACTAACGGAAGTGTGTGAGTGTGTGTGTTGATGTGTGTGTGCTAAATGGATTTCTTGTGTCTTTCAGCTATTGAAATGCGGAAACTTTTGTAAAAAACTTTTGAAAAATATACAAAAATCAACAAAAAAAAAAAATAGCTAAAAAAAAAACCCAGGAAAAAGGAAAAGCAAATGGAAAACGAATGAAAAGGGAAAAATAGAGAGAGAGAGAGAAAGAAAGAACATTAAATTAAAAAAAGAAAGAAAAAAAACATAAACTGTTGCCTTAACAATGAAACTTCCTTGTTGACATATATGCATACATATACAAGATACAAATACATATATACATATACTATATACAAAGTACATATACATACAGACAGTATACCCTATATACAAGAATATTATTATATATACAAAGGCCTATATACAAGAAGCAAAAGCAAATAATTATACAACAAGCAAGAAACAAAGAAGGAATCAAACATAAAGCAATAGAAGTAGTTTTAAGAAGAACCATAACAAATATATATACATCTATATATGTATATATATATTTTGTATACGACACCAAAAAATACAATTAAACAAAAGAAAAACGGAAGCGAAAGCGAAAGCGAAAGGAAGGAAGGAAGGCAGGAAGGAACAAGCTGGAAAAGAGTCTTAAGAGGTCGGTCCAAAAATGCGCCTAAAAGAGACAACAAAAAAGCCAGCAACAGTCGCAACTGCAACAACAGCAGCAGCACCGCTGCCACTGGGACTGTCCCTCTCTGGAGATTTCCTCAAAACGCTTCACATTGCAACGCCGCAGCAGCAACACTACCAGCATCAGCAGCACTTGCAACATTCACAGAGGCCGCATTATCTGCAGCTGCAACTGCAACAGCAGCATCAGCACCAGCAACAGCACCAGCGCTGCTCCAGCGTGGGCAGCACCAGCAGCAGCGGCACCTGTGAAACAGAACGCTCCAACCTTTCGTCGGCCTCCTCTTCCTCCTCGCTGTCGCCGGCAGCTTCTGTCTTTGCCATGATGCAGGGTCCGGCCGAAGGAGCTGCAGCCGGAACTGGAACGGGGGGAATGGGAGCGGGAGGAATGGGAGCGGGAGGAACTGGAACTGGACCTGGACTTGGACCTGGACCTGGACCTGGACAGGGGCCACAGGAAGATGCAACAGCGGCCGCTGTTTTGGCCGCCAACATAGCCGAATCGTTCACATTTCTGCAACAGCATGCGGCGCATCATTTTCGCGACATTTTGTATGCGGCCCACATGCTGGGAAGAGGTAAAACATTCAGCGGGGAGCTGCTTTGGAGTGGTGGAAAAAGGGGGTTGGGGAGAGGAAGAGGGGTGCCTGAAACCCCTCCCCCAAGGGGCAGACCAGGGAGGGAAACTGGGGGATTGTTGCACGACCAGCTGCTGGCTGGATGGAGCCGCTTAACTGGTTTTTTTTTTTTTTTTTGCTTTTGGTTTGGGTCTTTTTTTGTTTTGTTTGTTTTTTTCTTTTATTTTTTTTATTTTTGGCCTGGCCAACTTTCACTTTATGCATTGTTGCCACATTTCACAATTGCAATTGCACCTCTGCTTCGACTTGCACCACAGATCCACCACAATCTGCCACAGATGATGCTCTAACCAGATTCCTTTCCGTTCCTCCGCTTCTTTCAGGCTACTATCAGCCGGCTGGACCGCTGATCTCGCCCCATGTGATTGCCGGCGGACCACCGCCACCACCGTCGCAGCAACAGCAACAGCAGCAGCAGCAGCAGCAGCAGCATCTGCTTCAGCAGCAGTCGCTTAAGAAGCTGCAGGAAGAGGAGTCGGGCTCCGGCTCACCCACGCAGCTGCAGCAATTGCAGTTGCAGCAGCAGCAGGCAGCTGAGGCAGCTGAGCAAGCAGCAGCGGCAGCAGCAGCAGCAGCGGCGGCAGCAGCAGCAGCAGCGGCATCCCAGTCGCAGCATCAGCCGCCACACCAGCCACAGCCACAACATCTCCTGCAACACCAGCATCAGCAGCAGCAGCAGCAGCAACCACCGCAACCTCAGCCGTATCCGGCCAGTGCCGTGGCAGCCGCTGCCGCAGCGGCTGCCGGCCATCCGGGCGTGCCGTATTCCCGCTCAATGCACGCGGCCCAGATGCACTATACGACGGCCTATCCGCCAAACTACTATTCGCCGTATCCGGGCGAGGTCATGTGCTACTCGCCGCCCGCCTATCAGCCCTACTTTACCAGCAAGGTCTACCAAACGGGACCGCCGCCGCCGGGCCACCATCCCGGAGTTCATCAGCCGCCACCGCCGCCAGGCGCCTATCGCCGCTATCCGTACTACCAGCACGCCGGACCACCGCATCCGCCAACGCACCCGGAGCTGTACGAGCAGCAGCAGCAGCCGCCGCCACCGGCTCAAGCAGCCTCCCAAGCGACCAGTCCGCAGCAGCAGCAGCAACAGCAACAGCAGCAGCAGCAGGGCACATCTGTGGGAGGAGTGGGAGTGGGTCCGGCAGGGAGTCAACTGGTGCCCGCGCATCACCACCACCAGCAGCAGCATCAGCAGCAGCAGCAACAACATCAGCAGCAACAACAACAGCTGCAACAGCAACAGTTGCAGCAGCAACAGTTGCAACAGCCGCAGGCTCACCAGCCGCCACACCTGGAGCACTATCCGGGGCCCCCGAGCTATTACGCCGGTTACAGTCCGGGAGGAGCAGGGAGTGCCGCCGGACAGTGCTATACACGCGGCCTCCAGGGACCGTATATGGGTAAGGAAAAGTATGGTTCATAGGCAGAGTCCCAGTCCCAGGAGAACATCCTTCCGTTGAGGTCCTTTCTAATATGTGTGTTCTCCTCCTTTTGCAGAGTATCCGCCGCAGTGTCCGTGTCCAATGCAACAATCGTGTCCAAAAAACGTCCATACTGGGCCTCATATTGGTAGCAACATCAGCAGCAACAACATCAGCCAACAGAACAACAGCAACAGCAACAGCAGAAGCAGCAACAGCAACAACAGCAGCAGTAGCAGCGACAGCAAGACAGCCAGCAGCAGCAGCTGCAACACTATGTTGCAGGGTTCTATGAACAGCAGCAGCAGCAGCAGCAGCAGCCCGAGCCCCGCTGCCACAACAGCAGCAGCGACAGCAACATCGTTGAATACCAGTAGAGGCCCAGTGAAAAATGCCACCAAAAACAACATGAACAACAACAGCAGCAACAACAGCAGTAGCAGTAGCAGCAAAAGCTACACCTGCAACAGCAACAGCAACAGCAACACTGAGGCATTAGCAACAAACACGCGTGCAACAGCAGCAACAAACACGGAGGAGACCAACACAGCGGAGATGCGTGCCACAGCAGCCACCAACACAGTGGAGATGCGTGCAACAGCAGCAACCAACACGGAGGAGATGCGTGCCACAGCAGAGAGCACACGTGCCACAGCCGCAACAAACACAGAAACGCAGACGGCAACAGCCGTGGCCGTTGCCACAGCGACGACCAACAATATGGGAACGCAATGCCAGATGCTGGTCAAGACGGAGCTGAAGAGCGACCCCTCGCATCCCCAGGTGGCGCAGAAGATGCAGTACGAGGCGCATGTGATGCCACCGCCCACGCCGCCCGAAAGCTACTGTGCCAGCGATGACAAGTTGCTGGAGGACCAGGACCAGGAGGCGGAAATGGAGCTGGTTCTGGGTATGGGAATGGGAATGGGCATGGGCATGGGAATGGGAATGGACCTGGGGCTGACCCTGGAGAAAGGTCACAGTCACAGGGAACAGCTCATTGAGGCGTATGATCTGACCTCAAGCACACCACCGCCGCCATCGCTTCAATCAGCAGGAACAGGAGAAGCAGGACCAGCAGCAGCAGCGGCAGCCGGAGGTGCAGGAGCAGGAGTTGGTGGAGTGCAGCGAAAGGCGAGGATTGGCAAGAGTATGGCCAGAGAGATGGTGTTTGCAGCACAGCAGCAGCAGAAGCAGCAGCAGCAGCAGCAGGAGCAACCGAAGCAGCAGGAGCACCAGCAACAGCAGCAACAGCAGGAGCAGGAGGAGAAGAAACAGCAGCTGGATTTAGAGCAGGAGAAGCATTCAGGAGCGGTAGCGGGGGCGGGAGCAGGAGCAGAACCAGAGTTGCCTTTTGTACTTAAAGCTGAAATCAAAGCAGAGACCAAAATCAAAATCGAGCAGGATGACGGACGTCTGGCTAGCAGCACACCACATATCAGCCAATTGCCGGATCTGAAGCCCACAATCAAAACGGAGCCAGAGGCGGAATCCGAACCGGAACCGGAACCGGAACCCGAAACACAACCAGAATTAGAAGTACCAGAAGAAGCAGAGGCCCCAGCACCCAGCAAGCAGCGCATCAATCTGCTTGCCTCGTCCTCATCCGCGGCCTCCGCGTCTGCCTCAGGCAAACCCCCGAAGACGCACCACAGCTACAAGAGCCTGATAAAGCAGGCCGAACCGCGCAATTATTTGTGTCCGGGCCGAACGTTTGTGCGGCGGCTCGGCCGAGCACCAGCCAAGTATGCCAAGAGGCGTCAATTGCTGCTCGCCCAGCGCCAGCAGCAGAGGATCCGGGCCCAGAAGCGCGAGAAGCTGAAGCAGCAGCGCCAAGAGCGGCAGCAGCAGAGCGAGGCAGAAGCAGCTGCAACAGCAGAAGATGCAGCAGGGGAAGCAGCAGTGGCAGCAGCAGCTGCAGCAGCAGGCTTCTCCGGCCAGGAGGAACTCAAAAATCTAACCAGTGGCAGTGTCTCATCGCCCAAACGGGCACGTCCACGGAAGCAGGAGATTGCCGCCCTCCATCTGCTGGAGGGCCTGGACACGTCGCACAGTCGGGGGTATTTCAGTGATCCCGAGCTGAACAGCTGTCGCAGTCAAGTGCAGGTCCAGGGGAATGTGGGGAGTGGCGGTATCTATGCCGCGCCCTCACCTTTGTTGACAGCCCATGCAGCACTCCAGCCGGCGGCTGAGAAGCGCTCCAAGTCGGAAACCAAGAAGCCGCTGCCGACATCCACAGAGCAGCCCCCGGCAAAGAAGTCGAGAAAACAGGGCAACGGCAAGGCAAAAGCGAAGGGCAAAAAGGTGACAGCAGCAGCAGCGGAAGACGGAGGAGCTGGAGCAGGAGCAGCCTCAGCGGAGGAGAGTGCAACAGCAGCCACAACCTCAACAGCGGCCGCGGGAGCATCGTCAGCGTCAGCGTCAGCGCCTCCTCCATCGACAGAGACAAATAACAATGAGTACCAGACAGCGGATTTGCAGGCTCAAAAGCTGGAGCAGCAGCTGCAACATTCCGAGGAGCAACACAAGTTCCTGGTGCCGACAGCAGCAGCAGCAACAGCAGCCACTGTTGCCCCCTCAGTAATGCCCACAGCTACGCCCGCGTCTACATCTGGATCTACGTCACGCCAAAGCCAACACACGACGCACACGAAGCGCGCGCGATCCCGCTGCAAATTTGGCAACCGCAAGCGCCAGAAGCATCGTCCGGGGGGAGTTAGCTACGAGCTGGACGAGACACAGCCCCCAGCGACGAAGGCGAATGTGGTGCCCAAGTGGAACAACGGCTGGATGTGGGCGGGCAAGGCCTTCCAGGGAGCAGTATTTCTTAATGTAAGTCACACACGTGTATCACTCAATCCTATTTGAAATCGAATCGAATCTAACAAATGTATCCTTCTACCCTGAAGAGCGATGATCCGTTGGTTTTGCGCACCTGCTATCCGGCAATGCGGCATGTGGAGGGCGATATCATAAGGACCCGGGACTGTGTCCTGCTCAAGGCTAACGAGGACAATGAGCTGCCGTATGTGGCCAAGGTGGCGCATCTCTGGCAGAATCCTGAAGATGGTAAGAAGCCCTAGGGAGAGCTCTCACTGCATTTATTTATTCGAAAATTAGAATGTAAATCGTTTGAGTGGAGAATTTCACATTTCCCCTGGGAAGAGGAGAGACATATTTTGGCTATTCTAATGATCTATTGTGTCCCAAGGGAACAGGGCTATTAATCACCGATAAGATACGAGTATATGTATTTTTATAAAACCAAATCTCATCTGGATCGTAATCCTTTTTTCAGGGGAGATGATGATGTCGCTACTGTGGTACTATCGGCCAGAGCATACGGATCAGGGCCGGCAGCGCAACGATTGCCCGGACGAGGTGTATGCCTCGCGGCATCGGGATCACAACTCGGTGGCCTGCATTGAGGACAAGTGCTATGTGCTAACCTTCAGCGAGTACTGCAGGTGAGTGTGGGGCAATGGAATGCCCTCTATGCAGTCATTTAAACGCCTTTGGTTTTCATTTAGATATCGTCGTCGCCTGCGTGCCGCCGAGGAGGATGTGGAGGATGTCAGCATTGTGCCGCGTCGGCCGAGCAGTACCATCGCCAATGGCAACGCCACTGCCAGCGCAACCAGCACCGCCATCGTCAATTGTTATCCAGTGCGTACAGTGCCGGAGCACACGAATCCGGAGCTTGTCATGTTCTGTCGCCGTGCCTACGAGTTTCGGACACGCCGCCTGCTCAAGCTGCCCCAAAAGAGTGCGCTCGCCGCGTTTAGCCACAGCTAGCGCAAGGCTGGCACTAGCTAATCGATCCTTAGCATACACTTAGGCCTCATTCTAAGCCAATGAAGTGGTGAAACGAGAAGAGATGGCAGCATACGAGGATACCAAATGTTTTTTGGTATAACAAAAATTAGCATAAATTTGAACGAAGTGTTTGGGAGGAGAAGAGTGCCCCTGACAGAGGCCCAAGACAGACGATGATGCATCAGAGGATGCATAAGAATTGAACGATGAGAGATAGAAATTGTTTTGATCAGTCTACAGTTTACAGTATTGTTAAAGATATTTTTTTGGGTCTCCATTGTTGAAAGATATCTACTATCTGTGGGGAAAAGATCGGCTTAAGCAGCAATTATCGTACCGCATTTGCGACTGTATTCGTTGTTCCTATCCAACTGTCGTTTGTGCGTTTCGGATCGCGGATATGGCAATTGCTGTCCGATGTTGCCCCAATTACACACGCCACATACACACACACGTATATAGATATATATATATATATACACTATGTATACCTCTGTCGGGGCATATACACACACACACACACACACATGACCAAAATGTAGGCGAAAGCTTTTGAATTACGATGTGAAAAACGGATGTGAAAGATGTAAGATGAAGAAAGGAAGGAAGGCAGGAAAGAAACGCGCGTTATAGAATGAGGTAAAGGAATGAACTTTAGAACGTTAGAGCGTTAGAGCGAGCATTAACAAAAATATCTTACATTTTATTGCATAAACTATTTATTTTACTTCCCGCCCAACCCCAACCCCAACCCTCACATAAAGACGCACACGCGCACAGATAATTTTGTTATTAAGTTTTATAAATGTATTTATTTTATATTTCGATTATTTAGTTCACATTTCTTGAACACTGTGTCCTTCTTTCTGATGATGAGGATATTTTACCAAGGAGTAGCTTCAATTCTCAATAACAGTATCATGGCAGTGCCGTTCGCTTATGGGAATGTGCTGCTGGTGAAACAGGCGTATTAGACTCTCTCTCATTATATGACGGCCGAGGATTTCGCACAAAATCGAAACGCTTGGTGCCCCACACTCTCCCACATTCTCGTTGAACAAACTTTGTACTCAAACAATTAAAATTCTTACGCCCAATCCCCATGTACTACGTCCCCCTATCTATAGGAACCATGTACAGCCAATGCTCAGGCAAAAACATTTTGCGCACAGACAGATAAAGTAAGCAACCGAGATCCTTTCGACATGAGATTCCCGACTCTGGAAAAAGTGGAAGACTTGACACCCATTTTTTACTATAGTTTTTTTTTCGTTGTTGTTAGTTTTTGTAAGCGAATTAAAAACACACACACACACCCAAAAATAAGATTTTGATTATGTATTTTAGATCTGTTTTCGTTTATTATATTTTGAAAAGAAATTTGATTTCAATGAAATGATTTTCCCCTTCTTTTTCGTTCGTTCGGAAAAGAAGTCCTTAAAAAGAAGAACAGAAACAACAACAAGTCACATTTTTATATTTTATTCATAATAAATATAAAAAATAATAAACTAAATACTTGTATTTAAAAATAGAGAACTCCTTTTTTTTTTGTAATATTTAGTATAAGTTAATAAAATTGTAGTTTGTAAAGCCTAGCGTTTTTAGTTGTTAAGTTGATATTTAAATATGATTTGTTTTATACCAAATACACGAAATTCTTTTAACGAAATGTAAGAAATTTATTTATGCACAAACACACACACACACACACACAAATATATATCTATGCACACGTGTATAATCTTATGGATATATATATATATATAAATTATATGTATTATTTTTTTAAACCAATTCTGTTTTTTTGATTTCTAAATTTCGTTGGTAACGAGAAAGTCCCAGAGACTTTTGACGGGGACTATTTTTAATAGTTGGTCAACTGTAGGCGCTAGTAGGCGTGGCAGTATGTAGAGAGAAAGAGAGAGATTGAGAGAGGCGTGGAGCTAAGTAGAAGGAAAGGACGCTGACGCGACGCTTGAGAATAGAATGAGCAGCCGATAGGAATCGCATATAGACCTACACCTACACATTATAGGGAGCATAGCCAGACATACATACATATGATACGAAATACGAATACACAGAATACACAAAACAGAAGCACAAACAGATCCATTAGATACCGTACGTATACGTATTTACCCAGAGGAGGGGAACGAGGGAGCGACGAAGAAGGGATTCAATTAGTGAAAAACAAACAGACACCAAACAAGAAATTGTAGCCTAAATTACCAATAAAAATGAAACCAGAAACAGACAAACATTATATTTGTATGCCATATATAGTATATACACACACAGTACATATACACACACACCTATACATATATATACATATATATATATATAGATAGCTATATAGCCTTGTTCCTGCGGGACAAAAATATATATATTTCTATAGGAAGGAAGCCCACAGGAAGCTGACAGGAACAGCAGAAGCAGCAACAGCAGCAACAGCAGCGGAAACCAACCGAACGAGAACCGAACGAGTACCGATTTGTATGTATTATAAGTAGCGAGAGGGCAGTGGCAGTGTCTGTCGAATGAGGTGTCGAGGCGGCGTTCTTCACGGCCAAGTACAGTCAACCACACGCACAAAACAAAGTTACACTCACACAGAAAATGCCTCTAAAAACAAGAAAAATACGAAAAAAAACCACAATTTTTTTTTTGCTCATTTAAGTTTGTTGGAGAAAAATGTTAGCCATTTATTATAGCTCGTAGAACAGTCAGAAATCAATCGTATTAAATATATGTATCTTTATTTAGATCAATGGTTTAAAATTGAACATTTCCATTTAACGAATGATTTCCCATATGTGTATGTATGTATTTAGTTAATAGTTTTATGTCTGTAAGTACTCGTATGTGTTGCCCTTAAGCAAAACTACTACATATTTCCATCATTTCCATTTACATTTACATTATGAAATAACACTGGAGATCAAACAGCAAAAAAAAAGACAAAAAAAAAGAAAGGAAACAAAACAGCAACAAGATTAACAGTAATAAGATTAATTTTAAAAAAAGAGCTAGATGAACAAAAGTAATGCATAATAAGTGGAACAACAACAAGAAATACAACAAGAAGAACAACAGCAACAACAAACAAACAAGATCAATAAATCAAAACCAATATAACTATTGTTTATTACTAGAGAAATAAATTTATTTTTTGGCAAATTACCCGAGGTCTCTTCACTCTCTGATAGTCTCTGAAACCCCTAAAAGCCCCCATTCCCCCCAATGCCGCCCACTGTCGTCCTCGATTCAGACCAAACCAATTTCACACGGCCAAGCCATAGATATACGATTATAGTAATCGTTGTGGAAATATTGCGACTACAATATGCTCTATAATTGTGTTCAATCCGTAAGAAGGAAACAAAATGGATAGATTAGCAGATCCGTTTCCATCCAATTTTAGTCCCATTTCTTTAAAATTATGCGTGGTAATAGTTTAAACAATTACAAATTTTAAAACTTAATTTTAGAGAATATAGTTCTATGTAAATGATTCCTCGAAAGACGAATCACATACATATGTAGGTCTGAAATGTTGAATATTTAGCTGCTAGGAGAGTTTTACATGTTTGCTAATTCGTTTAGTTTATGTTCGAAAATACGCATGCGTTTCAGCTTTGACTAAGGCTTTTAGTTGCATGTTCAACGATAGGTATACTCTTCCTTTGAGGAACTTGAGTTGCGTTCCGAGATTTGTCATCCAAGATCAGGGGTGAGCTCCAAGCGGAACTTGAATACAAATACGATGAGGCATGTACATATGTTGCATACGAGTGAGTGGGTAGGTTGGATAGATACGTTATCTATAGGTTGTGGCTCCAAAAAAGCTTTAAGTTGTACAAAGATTAGGTTTGTGTTTTTACCGACTATTGAATCATGGTCCCACTAATGTGTCCATTGCATGCTTTGCGCATATTCCAAGAGTTATGGACAGTTTTGGGAGTAAAGCAGTAAAAAAAGGAATTCTTTTTTAGTTGAGGCAAGTTTAAATAGATTCAAAAATATGTGGATGTGAAATATAATAAATTGTACGCTACTCTAGATGGACCAAAGCAGTGTTCGTGTCCAAAGGAAAGGGCTCTCCACCTGCGCTGCCTCTACGCCCATGAGGGCAACAAAACATTTGAATATCCATCCCTGTTCCTGTTTAAGGAATACTTTGATGTACCTACGCCTTTTTTGTATCGTAGCGTATTATACTCTTCGATGAGATCAACATTAGATGGCGCTTTCTTCACACAACGTAGCGTCTCAGCCAAGTGCCCGTGGGCTTGATAAACATCGAATGCACGTAGGACTGACAACAGAAACTGAAATCAGGAGTGATCCAACATTGACATTGACAAGCGTCAGAACAATTAAGTTAATCGCCGAACAAATTGCTGGCTCAGATCTCAGCCCACCCCACCACGCCACCCGCCACCCGCCTCCCATTTGGAAGAAAGTCAGTCAGCGAGTCGTACACACTGCATATTAGATCTGCCAATTAGTATATGCTGACAAATGAATGTATCTGGTAGTCTGAACGGGGCTTGTACACCGAGAAAAAACACCCGCCACTTGCCAATACAAATTCGAAAAGTGTATGAAATGGATCTCAGTTTTTGTTTTTGTTATGTTTTTTGAGTGTAAATATGTATCATCATTTGGGGTGTCGATGAGCTCACTGGGGGTTCTCAGTTGTGAGTCAGTCACTCAGTTGTTGTCCCAAAAGCATTATCAACAGGTGTCTTCTCGTCCGATTCCATATACATACATATGTACATATGTGGATGTGTATATATTTATTTGTTTTTGCCTTTGTTTCGATTTTAATTTTCGAGAGGGCGGCACGATTCGGGGGGTGGGGCGGCCAATTACATGGGCGTTTCTCATATCTAAACATATCAATTATGTGGGAGTGCCAAATGACGATGATGAGCGTGTGGGGGCCGGACTGGGATCGGAATCGGGAACGTGAACGGACTCGTTAGTCACTTAAACTACGCAGATGTGTCTGTGAGATCTGTCTAAAAATAATCATACGAGTATTGCTCTTAATTTGCACAAAAATCCAAAAGCAAAAGATTTTCGGTGATAGTTCTTTTTTGTGGACTGTGGAAAGGCATGCAAAATGGGGAAACCAATTTGTAAGGGTGATTATGGTTAAATAATTAATGAAATTTACTATTAATTTACATATTTCATGACTTAAGAACTTAAGTATGTTTTTTTTTCATCAGTTGCTGAATGACTTAAGTGGGTGTATACGAGTTTCAAAGGTCGCACATCGAGAATTCCCCTCCCGGGCACTCGTACTCCATCTTATCATGGAACACATACGCGTATTCGAAGCAGTTCTTGCTGGGTTTCGTTGTAAATTAAGTCAAAACAATATGCTGATAATTAAAAATATTTTTAAGCTGATTCGATTGCATAATTTTTATTCTCAAGCCCTAAACTTGAACGATCAATCCTAGGTGCTCGTAATTAATGAGTATTTCGCAGATAAACAGATAAACTCAGATGCATAACAGCTAATAGTGCGCTATAGGACGGGCCTCTCTGCTGTTGCTGGAGAGCTGCAGGGGCGGCTCCATCTAATTGTGGGAGCCTGATTTCCCAAATTACCAACAACAAAACAACAAAAAACCACTATTGTCTCTCGATCTGAACTTTTCTCTTTTAATGAACAATTCACACGTTTCGATAATTTGTATAAATTAAACTTAGAAGGTAAGCAAAAAAAAAATATAAAACCAACAAAGACTCCCCCTCAAGATCTCCTGCCCAGCAGTGCCGCGCCAAGGGCCAGGGTCACGGCCACGCCCAGCGAGATGACACCACGGCCATGGGTGATCGTTGCTGCTCCGCCCCGATAGCCATAGCTGCCGGGATATCCCGGATCGAGTCGGCCTCCCATGTTGTAGCCCGGCTGTCCGGGCTGCCCCTGTCCGTTGTAGGAGAAGGGCCGTCCGTGCTCATCCGTGCCGCTCACATAGTAGCCACCGTTGCCACCCGCTCCGCCATACGTGCCACGGGAGTCGACGCCCGCATAGCCGTAGCTATACTGCGGGTCCTGGCTGCTCAAGCTCCCCGGCGGATGCATGCCTCCGCCCGTTTGGGCATTCGACCAGGCGCCAACGCCGCCATTTCCATTGTTCCATGTTCCCGACTGACCATTCACTGCAACAAAAATCAAGAGAAGAAAACACTTAGTTACGATTACGATCTGGAAGAGGGGTTCATCATTCAAACGGAGAAACTGTTCATTTTCGAAAGTGTAAATGTCTGGTTTTTTATTTATTTTTTATTTTTTGTTGGTGGTTTATATCTTTATTTGTTCTGTATTATATAGTTGATGTATTTTTTGTTTGTTTTTATTGAATTTTGGTGCGTTTTATGTGCTATATCACAGCGATCTATGTATATAGAAGTTTTTTTTTATATATGAGTTTGTATATTTATTTTTTAAATTAGCGTCCACCGTGCTTTTCACAGGCTATGTTTTTTTTTTGTAAGTCTTTCAAGTGATTTAGAAGTTTATCTATCGCATGCCAGCAGCTTATTTTTGTGCACTTTTCCATTGTTTTCCCTGCACTCTAACGTGTTGTCGTGCATGGTGTTCTGCCGCTCATCAGGTGATCGACCCCACACCGACCCACTCACCCGCTACGAGGAGCCCGGCCAGCGCCAGATGGAACACAATGCTACCGCTTATGTACCGCTTAAGATTGAGACGCGTTTCAGACATGTTCACCGCTTGAGCGCTCGACTGCAACTAAATCGCGTCCAGAGTGTTGTCAGTGGTTTTAAACTCGTTTCGAGCCCAGGCCCAGGCCCAGGCCCAGGCCCAGGCCGGGCTCTCAGACAGCAACAATAACTTGATCACTGTTAGCGATGTGGTTGTATTTGTGGCTTTAACAGCGAGTCATCGCTGCTCGTTGCTGTTTGTTTCAATTGTTTATTCAATTACCTTTTTGGCGGTGTAGCACGGGAAGGGTGTACGAGAGTGCGGCTGGTGCATGGTGCGCGATGAACCCAACGGGGAAGCGAACGGAAATCCATTTGGGAATCACCTTTAAAAAAGTAAGATTAAGCCAGCCACAAAATGGGAATTATAATAATTTGTGAATAGTTTTCCATGTATATTTAATATGTTTTAATTTGTACAATATTTTTTTTTGTAGTAGTATTCTGTGGTTTTTGTGACTAAAATGTTTGAAACCAAAGCAACAATATAAATATTAGTAATTAGTGTTATCGGAGGCGAAAACTATGTATTTTCTAGTTTCCAGATAGATTGCTTAAAATATGAAAATTTAAATTTCTTATTCACTTTGCCTTAAGCCCAAATGCAAGTTCGTATAAGTTCACTTTTGAAATCAAGACTTTCCAAGATATTAAACGATTGAACTCATAGATGCACATATGTAATACCCTGTTATATATATATATATATTAATACATACAGTGACATAAACAATTATTGTTTATGTTAAACATTCTTTAGACTCTTCGCCTCTGGAGCAAGCCACTCATACTGATTCTGTGGGTCTTAATGCTGATCTTGCTTTTCCGTAGACTCAGGCAGAGATCGCCAGCACTAATACTGATGCAGTGGTACTCTCTTCATAATATGCCTGGGAGAACTCTCGCATTAATAACAATTTGAATATACATTCCCATTCAATCCCTCAAACGAAATGAACCTTTTTTTTCGTTCATTATGGTAAAGCGATAAAGCAGCTCCTCCTCCTAGTCATACAAACAAACATACATACATATATGTATGTACATATGCATGTATGTAAATGGCTATATAATTTATTTTCAAATACAGAACACGCAAATTGATGCAATGTAATGTTGATGCGGTCGAACGCGACGTGAGAATCGCAGGCTGGGGCTGAGCGTGAGTTTTTTTCCGGTATAGAACACGTTAATTTGTTGGCTCATTAATGGAATGATGTGCACGACGCGGGCCCGGGGCCAGGGCCAAAGGGTTGTCAAAATGTTGATCGTCGTACGACAAATAGCAAATGTCTCAACCGATATACGTACATATGTACGTGCTACTACGCCTTTGAAGATCCCCCGAATCGCATTCAACTCGACTATCTCTCCTTGGTTCCACATTTTACATATATGTAGGTATGCAGTAGTAGTCTATAGATATGTTTCACACATTCCAAGGAAAGAGCAGTGGCTAAACGGTAGTCAAAAGCCAAACAATGCATTCGCGTTGTTGGTATAAGGCCTAGACCTAGGCCGGCAGAAAGAAAGGGAAAAGTGCCAGCACAATCGTGGGGCAAGTGCAAATTATTTGCTTTCTCGGTGCTGTTTGTGACGTAAACTTGGGCCTTTTGTGGGCCCAGAGCATACGAGTATCTAGGTCGGGGCGATATTGTAATATATACATACATATGTGCCTATCCATTTAGTGCTATCCGAAACTATCAGACAATATCAGACTGAGTAAGTTTATTTATTCATTATATTCCATTGAGGCAATTGGGGTTTAAGCCTCGATTACAGTTCTCTAGCCTGTACCTACGATTTACATACGATTCAGCAACGCTTAATGATGGATATTGATTGGTACTTGAATATATCTAGGAAGTTGATAATTAATAGCAATAGTAATAGTTTGAACTGAATGCCAGGGAGTTACTACCTGCGAATGAGTTAGGCTAATACGATAGGGCTTTGAACACCGGTAACTAAACACCAGTAAACTTGGGTAAATCAAAAACATAATAGGTATGATAGTTTGGCCTTCATGCTCTTTAGCTCTTTCATATGAAATATTTAAGAAAAAGATCTTAAAGATCGAAAGGCGTTTGTCGAACGGTGTTCTTAACCAATTTGGTGGCAACGCTGGGCTGCCACAGAGCTGCCACCAGACGTGCAGCTTCTGCGCATTGATGCAACACAACCCCCAGGGTTGTAATCCAGCTAAGGGTATGTGTAACTCTCTCTCTCTCTCTCTGTATGCTTTTCTCTCCGTTCTACTCTCTGTTTGTGTGTGATTTGGGCTTTTACTACGTTTGTGTTATTGTTTTTCCCTTTTGACGTATTTTCGAATCGTTCTCTTCCCTCTCGGGTCACTGTCTGACATTGTACCAGTGTCGGATGGGGGTGGGGGTGCAGGACGTGGTGCGGAGAGTGCGATTACGATTTCGAGCTCGGGTGCAAATTGCGAACGCGAGCGCGAGCGCCACCTGGACTGGCTTTCTGTGGTACTTTTTCGGTCTTTTGCTCTGTTGGTGGATACTCTTTCCCATCGCAGCGTTGGGAGCGGACTGGTTTCGTGTTTTCGGGTGTTTGTTTGCTTGCTGGTGGCTTGGCTTGTCGATTCCAGCTCGTCCGAGTGCTGGCTGTAATCAACAAAATGCAGCAGAAAATGGCCACAAATCGAGCCAGTTTCGAGTGAACTCTTGTGCACCGTTCAAAGTGTGACGAATTCCGACAAATAAAAGCCGATAAGTAAGCGGGAAGAGCCAGAAGGATAGCAGGACAGCAGGACAGCAGGACAGCAGGACAGGAGCAAAAGCGGAGCGAGAAGAGAGCAGGTGGAGGTGGAGGTGGAGCAGCAGCAGGAGCAAGGGAAAAGCGAGCCCAAGAAGAAGCAGGATACAATTTCCTTGCATTCTTTCAGGCGCACAAAGAAAATGAGCGCTAAGGTAGGCCAAGAGCGCGCCTCTTCGTGTATTTTTGTTTCCCTTTTTGTGTATGTGTATGTGTGTGTGTTACAGTGCTTCAAGTGTGTGTATCTGTGTGATATCAACAATGCTGCAGGCCATCATTTCCGTGTCCCTCTCTGTCTCCCAATCTCACCATTTCAGTGCATCCGCGAACTCCAATTGAAAGCTGTAATTGCCTTTTCTGTTGAATGTTGAATAAATGTGATAAAGCCACGCCTCCCCCTTTTAAGGCGCCCCCAGAGATTGCACCCTTAGTGACACATACCTCCCCCCCCCTCCCTCCATCCCCCTTGGGTAGGAGTCAGAGAAACGGTTGTTATGGTTATGGTCCCTGGTAAATGGTATATGGTATACATAAATTGCAAGCACTGCACCATAAATTGAGTTAAGACCCGCAACGAAGACTGATTTCTAACATATGCTGCGACACCAGTGCAGAAGAGGCAGAGAGAAAGAGAGAGAGAGAGAGAGAGAGGCGGAGACGCAGTGCAGTGCGAGAGAGAGAAGGAGATAGATGGAAGGCTGCAGAGATGGAGAGAAAGAGATGATTGTGATAAAGGGTGCTCTGGTTTCACATTTACAAGTTGCCTGGCAACCCAAGTGTCGAGCTCTGTTTGGCTTAATGAATCTGCTGCATGCAACACAATGGAAGCCCCCCTGTGGCGCCCCACTCCCTTTGACACATTTGAGAGCTATATATAGCGACGAATTCCTTTTAGAAGCGCAATCAAAGATTGCTTTCCCGAAATTTGCGGCCGATGGTTAAGGGTCCGTTTTCAGCAGAATTTATTTATTTGGCCTTTATTCGGCCATTTCCAGCGAAAGAACTGCAGAGATCAACTTTTTCCAAGTATTAATGGACACCCCAAAGAGTTTTTGCTGTACATGTTTCTAGGAAATTCAATACTTCATTGAAGGCAGAAGTTGCACATTTTTCCTCAATACAGTCATGACAGTCTGTCCGTTTGGCTTGACGCCTAGTTTTCAGAGACTATCCAGACTCCTGTGATATCACACTGTTACAAGTGTACTTCAAAATTCCGCCCAGCTCCTTTCGCATAGAGACTGGCCATATCTACCAGATTGCCGAATCTGGATCAGATAAAATCAATATCATAGCCAGAAGGAACAAAAGAAGAAGGAATATTCTTTCTCTCTCTCTCGCTTACACACTCTTCATCGTGCAGTGTGCGCCCTCTGGCGGAGGAGAGCCCTCTCCCTGTGCTATAAGGCCTTTCAAGCAGCAATGGAAGTCCACAAAAGTGTAACATTTGTCTGATGGAGCTCTTGTTGATTCCTTCTATCCTTTACAATAAATCTGTCCAGCCTTTCTCCCGATTCTCAACTTCTATCTGGATTTGAAAAACAGAAAATATTTCTGTAAAGTGATCGAAAATTTTTTGAACCCATACAGAGCTCCTGTTGATTTCTCTCCCCGAATTCCCCTATCTCTCTCTCTCTCTCTCTTTCTCGCTCTCAATCTGAATGTTTGTGGAGATTCGATTTCTGGCTTATAGAGAGAAGTCCTTGTTAGGCATATGCCGTTAATGCCTGTTTACATTCCGCAGTCCACTAAATGCCCGTCACTGCATGAATGTGTTTAGCTGTCTAGCTGTGTATCTGTGTGTCTATATTGTCTGTATGTATGCATGTATTTTGTGTTTACATTTTGTTGGAAGCGCAACGGCTGGCAAAGCCATAGCTGGCATCCATAATCCATGCACCAGGAGGTGGTGCGGCGGTGCGGAGGTGCGGAGGTGGAGTGTACAACAAAAGGGAAAATAAAAGAAAATTGTGAAAAAAAAATACGAGGAATAAACTGCGCAACAGTTTTCACTTCACCACGGAGCAACCCCCTTCAGGCCGCCCCGCTCCGCCCTGGTCCGCCCTGGTCCGCCCTGGTCCGCCCGCTGGCCTGTTGGGTGGTCGGCTCTGGTGATGGCGTTGGCGCTGGCGTTGATGGTAATAAATTGAATTCCCTGCCCTCATATTGTAAGCCAATACAGTGTACATAGCGCACAGTGTTCACTGGCCATGCTGGACGTGAAAGGGCTGTAATTAAGCTTCAAATTCAAAAATATAATCAGCTATATGGTTTAATTGAAAGCTATAATCAATTACTAGAACAGACTACCATCGATAGCTGTCATAGATAAAATAAATGGGATACTAGCTCTTAAAAAAAAAATGCTTTCATTTGATATCTAGAAGAGACTTTGTTGAAAGAATACTCATCTGATATGGTATTTGAAATCTGAGCCAAAAGACATTCCAATTGCTGTGGCTCCTTCTGGTCCAGGGATCCCCGTACCTGTTTCACCCTGTTTATATGATGCGCAGTCCTTAATCTGCCTCTGTGTGAGTGTGGTGGCATGATGCAGATTTACATAGATATCGCAAATATGTAGATACAGACGATAGATAATAGATGCCCGCCTGCTGGACGATCGCCCAGCAAAATGCAATTAAATGGGACGGGACAAGCGCGATAAATGTGTCAACGACATTTATGGGCCAACAAATCGGGTTTTTTATCACCCGTATCGGGCTCCCTCATTTTGGAAATTGCTTAGGAATGCCTAACCGCCAAAAGTAACAATTGATGTGTGTAAATAAACAATTGCGAAGACAGCAACAGAGCCCCAAAATGCACATAAATAATAATTTATAATGAATACTCACTCGAAAATTCGTTGGGTATTTCTTGGCATTAATTGAATAAATGTATCTATAGCCGACACCCGCAGAGTGTACTCTCAACAAGGGAAATAAGGAAACAATATTATTTTTTCTACTTGTTCTTTTCTACTTTGGTCTCGAGCAGCGGGTATCTTAAAGTCGCCAATAGCCATATCACTTCTTATCCTCGTACTTGTGCCTATACAATATTATTATTAAGAGTGCGTTCTTTCCCTGGTTCTCTTTGCCTTTCGGTTGGCCCCATCTCCGGTGCCAATGAGCGCAAACAGCCGGAGCCAGAGCCACACATACAGCCGCAATCGAGTCAATTAATTTGTATACAATGCAAAACTATTGGATATATGAGTACGAGTATGGGCGAGTCGGGGTGGCAAGTGGCAAGTGGCAGGGGGCAGGGGGCAGGGGGCAGGGAGGAAGGGGGCAAGGGTGGATGGCCGGGCAGGGCCTTTTGAGTGCCGAATCATCGGTGGGCCGGGCCGGGGCGGGGCGGTGGCGTCACCAAAGTGGTTCCGTTCGTTCCATTCCTGTGCGGCAGGCGGCAGGCGGCAGGCGGCAGGCAGTTCGCTCGGTGCTCGGCGCTCGACGCTTTCAGTGCGCATCCAACGGTCATGGGCTGAACACGAACACACCACGTATATCGGCGCCGCGTTCTGTTATCATTATCCCATTGAAGACACAATAATACACACAATACAACCCCGATACGCATAAAACGACATCCAGCCAAAACAAATACACTTAACGCTTCTTCAGTTGGTTCGGGCCGACATTGCTGGTTTTTGAAAATGTGGCTAACCGATTGCCGAACGGTAGGTCGTGCCCCCACTTTCCCATAAGCCAAATACCATGAAGTGCCACTGGGGTTAAACAGGACTCGGAGTTAGACTTCTACAGTTAGAGGTGATCGTTAAATGGCGGACCACAAAGAGGACCCATGTAAAAATTGCTTGGGGAACGGTATATAAAGAACAGTTTCTTAATCTTTAAAGTCGTCTTCAGGTTGTAAATACAGTTTTTCAGGTCCATTGATCAACAATCAGCAATATTCCAGATATCCAAACAGCTAGATCAAATCGCATGCAAATCGTAAAGAGATTCATATCTCCAAATAATCTATAATCTATTATCAATGATCTGTTGGCCGTTCTGCATTGCAAATGACACAAGGGTTAAGCAGAGAACACTCAAGAATATCTCGAGCAGAACATCTCCGAGGTATGAATGGGGGAGCACCCGGCATTGGGTTGGGAATGCCAAAGCACTGAAAAGCGAACAAGCGAAAAAGCTCTGCGAATGTTTATGAATTTATACGGAGGTACATATTTGTATCCACAGATACATATTGCTTCCTCTAGCTGTAGCTTATCCGATATTCGAGGGTAAACATGTGATAGAACGGAACAAAACAAAAGAATCGCACGTTTTGGGCCACTCCAAGCCCAACATATGGTACGAGTATCTCCTCGTATAGATCCCCAGGAATATATCCATATGGACGTACTTCTACATACATATATTTGGATGGACAAATTGCTAAGTATAATGCGAATCTCATTCCAGATGACACGCTACAAACAGACAGAATTTACAGAAGATGATTCAAGTTCAATTGGCGGCATTCAACTGAACGAAGGCACAGGCCACACTGGCATGCAAATACGCTATCACACAGCGCGGGTGAGTTTTGCCTTCCTTCACCTCACACTCTCTCTATATATCTGTATCTTTTGCCCTACCCGTAATTCACACTCCCTCCACCACCACTCCCTCCCCCCCCTCCCCCCCCCCCCCCCCCCCCTACCCACATAGACAAGACACTAAGTCGGTTAGCTTTATCTGTTTCTTTATGACAATGACCTAAAAAAAAATGGAAGAAAATGAGGCCAACGTGAGCGCTTTTCTCATTCATTTGAAGGTTACCATTTGACAGTGAAAAGTCGCTCTGCTCTGCTCTGTCCCTGTCCCTGTGTGTATGGGTCTGTCGGGTTGGTTTGCCCTAACATATGGGTTGACAGGGTTATATGGGATTGGCAATGGGCTTGCTCTGCATTTGAATGGCAACATAAAAGGGGCTTGAATTTCCTTCTGAAACTGAAATAGAAATTAGCTAAAATACTAATACACTAAAATCTCATGATGGTGGAATGTCCAAGAAAAAATGAGAGCCATTCAAGTCATTTCGATCGGCTTGTTAGCGTATTTTCCCGTCGTTGTGGTTCCCATCCAATGCTTATCCATTCCGACATCTATTTCTCCCGTCGTACCACTGGACGTGCGGCAATGTGTGTGGAAAAATTTAGCCGCAAGTGGCTTAAGTACGCGAGATTTCTTCTGTGGATACACAAGTTTGAACTCATCTGAACTGTCGTCGTGCTATGGTTGCTGTTGTTGTTGTTGTTGGGTTCTGTTTACAAAACAGATTCTATACACAGACACGCACAGACGGATTGGATTGGGGAGAATGTAGGGTAGCACACAAGACGGATGTACTGTGTTCTGTGTGCTGGGTAGAGGCAAGTGATAATGATTCTCGCGATCTCTCAGGCTACTTGGAACTGGCGCTCAAGGAGTAAGACCGAAAAATGGCTGCTAATCACGACGTTTGCGATGACGATGACAATCTTCACGCTGCTGATCGTGCTGTTTGCGGACAGCAACAGCGACAAAACGAAGCACATTCTACACGTGCAGCCGCACAAGAAAGGTGATAAATTCCCCTGATCCCCCCGACTACCCTGAGATCGTGAATCTAATGGCTAAGTTTCTTTGGCAGATTGCCCATCAGGGAGCGAGGTGCCGTGCCTGAACAAGCACTGCATATTTGCGTCGAGCGAGATCCTGAAGTCAATCGATGTAACAGTAGATCCATGCGACGACTTCTACGGATATGCATGGTAACAAGACCATTCTCCTTTAAGAGCCAGACCCTGATGCTGATGCTGATCCTCCTCCTGATCTTTCTCCAACCAGCAACCAATGGATCAAGAACAACCCCATTCCAGAGGGTAAGTCGACATGGGGCACATTCGGTAAGCTGGAGCAAATGAATCAGTTGATCATCCGCAATGTGCTCGAGAAGCCCGCCGCGACCTTCAAATCGGAGGCCGAGAAGAAGGCCAAAGTGTACTATGAGTCCTGCCTGGATGCCGATGAGCACATGGAGAAGCTGGGCTCCAAGCCCATGAACGATCTCCTCCTTAAGATCGGTGGCTGGAACGTAACCCAGAGTGGCTACAATGTGTCCAACTGGACCATGGGAAACACCCTCAAAATACTGCATAACAAGTGGGTCTAACTAATTCCAGTCACTACCAAACTCGAAGACTATCCCTTTAATGTCTTTCTCTCTCGGACAGATACAACTTCAATTGCTTGTTTGGCTGGGCGATCGGGGAGGATGACAAGAACTCCTCGCGTCACGTCATCCAGATCGATCAGGGCGGCCTGACCCTGCCCACAGCCGATTACTACAACAACAAGACGGACAACCATCGGAAGGTTCTGAATGAGTATATCGAGTACATGACCAAGGTGTGCGTCCTTCTGGGGGCCAACGAGACCGATGCTCGCGCCCAGATGCTGGGCATCATTAACTTTGAGAAAAAGCTGGCGAATATCACCATACCGCTGGAGGATCGCCGCAACGAGGAGGCTATGTACCATCCGATGAAGCTACGGAAGCTGGCCAAGCTGGCCCCCTTCCTCAACTGGACGGATCATTTTGACAATGCCCTGCAGATGGTCAACAGACGGGTCACCGACGACGAGGTCGTCGTTGTCTATGCCCCCGAGTTCCTCAAGAATCTCTCCGATATTATCATGAAAATGCAGCAGACCGATGAGGGAAAGATGTGAGGGCAAATATGGCTTATATGTTATTAACTCTGGCTATAATCCCGATTATCCCCATTATTTGCAGCACCTTGAACAACTATCTCATCTGGCAGGCGGTCCGCACCCTGACCAGCTGCCTCTCGAAGCCGTTTAGGGATGCCTACAAGGGGGTGCGCAAGGCACTGATGGGATCCGACGGTGGGGAGGAGATCTGGCGCTACTGCGTCTCCGACACCAACAACGTGGTCGGCTTTGCTGTGGGTGCGATCTTCGTGCGTCAGGCCTTCCATGGGGAGTCGAAGCCGGCGGCCGAGCAGATGATTGTCGAGATACGGGAGGCCTTCAAGCACAATATGCAGAACCTCACATGGGTGGATAAGCAGACCCGCGAGCGGGCCATCGAGAAGGCCGATCAGATCTCCGACATGATCGGCTTCCCCGACTACATCCTCGATCCGGCCGATCTGGACAGAAAGTACGCCGACTTGAACATAACTGCGAATGCATATTTCGATAACAACCTCCAGGTGGCCATCTACAACCTGAGGAGCAACCTGAAGCGTCTCGACCAGCCTGTGAACAAGACCAACTGGGGCATGACCCCGCAGACGGTGAACGCCTACTATACGCCCACCAAGAACCAGATCGTATTCCCCGCCGGTATCCTCCAGACGCCCTTCTTCGACATCAACAACCCCAAAAGCCTGAACTTTGGGGCCATGGGCGTGGTCATGGGCCACGAGCTGACACACGCCTTCGACGACCAGGGCCGAGAGTATGATAAGTATGGTAACATCAATCGCTGGTGGGACGCCAAGAGCATCGAGCGCTTCACCGAGAAGTCCGAGTGCATTGCCCGCCAGTACAGTGGCTACAAGATAAACGGACGCAACCTGAATGGCAAACAGACGCTGGGTGAGTTCTTTTATTTCTGTTTGTTTGGGAATCATTTCAAAGTTCATTCCCTCCAATGAAAACAGGTGAAAACATTGCCGATAACGGTGGCCTCAAGGCAGCCTACCACGCCTACCAGCGGACTAAGAGCGAAAAGGAGGCGGACATCCTAAAACTACCCGGTCTAAATCTGACGCATTCGCAACTCTTCTTCGTATCCTTTGCCCAGGTGCCTAATGCCTAGTGATAATCACATCTGTGAAAATGATTGTTAATCCTTTGGATCTCGATTTCGAATAGGTCTGGTGCTCGAGCACTACAGAGGAGACGAATCTGTTGCAGGTGGAGAAGGATCCGCACTCGCCGTCACAGTTCCGGGTGATCGGGACCCTGTCGAACATGAAGGAGTTCGCCGAGGTCTTCCAGTGCAAACCCGGCAAGCGCATGAATCCGACCAGCAAGTGCGAGGTGTGGTAAGAGTGCACTGGGCACTCCCATAGAGAGATGGAGGGAGAGAGAGAGAGCGATCTCAGAGCAAGCGATGGCTACTCGTAAAGCCATGCTATATGATAACTATGGATATATTATATATGATATATGGATAACTAAACGCAGACTAAGAGAAGCGTCTTTGCTGTGCTATTTCCGTTTCCTGTATTTTAATTTTATAGTTGTATACCAATTCTTAACATTTGTCTTAACCTTTTGTCGAAAGACCGTCAGTCATTGTGCCTATGATAGAAATGATTGAAACTGACGATAAATTCATATTTTTACTTTGGCGATTCCGCACCGGGGGAACTGCTACGACTGGCAGTGCTCTCGAGCAGCGAACCTCCATCAAATGGGACATCCTAAAAACTACATACATAATTTGGCTGAGTGTGTGCTCTTTGGGGTAAAACCAAACCAATTTAAAGGCAAACACCCCACATACACACACAACAAAGGTCAAAGTTAGAGCCAGAGTCTGGCTGATGTATACATATATATATATATATATATATATATATATATATATATATATATATATATATATATATATATATATATAGATAACGATAAATGATATATGATAAACGATAAACTTAGCTATTTGTAGAACTATGAATGTATATTGTATGTATTATAGAGATACCAAAATATCGAATGACACGAATCGGGACGGCTCAGGTCTAGAAAGTGGATTAATAACACGATATATTCAGCTAAAGAAAACTATTCGAATGAAATTAATTTATTGGCTTGACTTGAGTCCTCGAAATGTGAAAGCGAGATAGCTAGTGATGTGTGTGTGTGAAAGCGACAGAGATAGCGATAGCGAAAGAGAGAGAGAGAGAGTCTTAAGCTTTTGAGTTGCCAAATATGAAACAGAAATCGGAACGAGTTTGAATATAATTTATTTCATACGAGTATAAACTAAACAAAATTAAAAACGCCAATTGGTTATTTCAAACCTGTTTCAATTGGCACATTTCGTTGAGTCCTAAATATCGAATTGAAACAATGATTTATTATTATTTTCTCGCTGTGCCAGACAGAAAGAGATTTCTCTCTCTTACGGGCGTGATTGAGACATGGAAGAGAGAAGAGAGAATAGGTAAAAGAACAAAACACCAAATATACTCTAGAGAAGAACAAAAACACCAAATATACTATGGATGAACAAGAAGATTTGATGGCGTATACTACCTACAGAGAAGAATAAACACCAAATATACTATGGATAACCAGATATCGAAATTATATAGCAATTCACCTAACAAAGACATCTGAAAGCGTTTTCTTTTGTACAAACGAAAACATATCGTTAGCCGTACAAAAAAGAATAAACACCAAACCAAACCAAAACAAACCAAACCAAATCAAGTGAAACAACCCAAGTGGAACTTAATCGAACACCAAATTGGGCTCAATTGGGCCAAATAGCTTAGCCATAAGTAATCCGAATCAATCAAACAATAAACGCACAAATCGCCATACTTAGCATACGGGTATGGGTCAGAGTATATGGCCAAAGAAATATGGTTCCTGGAGGCCTGGACTCAACTCTCAAGGGCGAGCAGAGTGCCCCTTTGGTTTTGGTACATTTACGGGTACATATACGAGTATCGATCGTACATACGACTAATGCATTTACGTAACTCTCATTTACTTTATTTCCGTTGATCGCTCAGTTCTGAACAGATGGAAACCAACAACAAACTACAGATATCAAGCTAAAGAAGTTTTATATTCTATACATGTATGTATATGTACTATATGATAGTTGAAAGAAATCATACAAAAACAATTTAAATAATTATGATAACGTAATATTATACAACCGACATACATAATATACATACTATACATACCGATATACATTTACTGAATGTTTAAAGAAAACTTATTTTTATTGTCTATAAATAGTACGAATACAGTGATGCATCCATGTATCTACAATATACATACACACACACACATACGAGTATGTATGATAAAACGGAAATAAAATTCAATAACTGTGACTTCAAAACACTCTATCTATAATTTTGTGTGATTTTTCTTATTTCTGGTGATTCGAGAGGTTCAGAAGATGCTTTTCATCAAAGAATTGCATATTTCAAGAAGCAATTTTCTCGATTCGGAATGGATATTCATAGCGGGAAGAATTTAAGCTGTCTTAAACTTCGCCTTAAAAATGTATCTCTTGAATGCAGTCCTTTGAGAGGTGTTTTATTTTGACACTGAATCATGTCTTTTAAAAATTATATGCAGAAAATTCGAGACCAACCTGCATTAATGCTGACGGAATATTCAATGCAGGACTTGAACACAGTGCCAGTCCTAGAAATACAACTGAATCGAGGAATACTTGCATTACTAAACGTATAACAAAATATTTTTAAAAAGAGAAACCACATGATGTGTTAAAATTGTGCCTGAAAGGACAGCAATTCCGTTTGTATTGCACTGATCATCTCCATTTTATTGCTGTGTAATTTATCCATTTTTCTGAACAACGTAATGTTTAAGGTTTAAAGTAGAGGTTCAGGGTAACAGAATATATAAGTACATACATTTGTATAACACACTGTATGCAGCAACAGAATTATTAGACCCAATAAACTGCAGACTCTGCAGTATGTCAGCATCCCACCCTTGTTCACCCACTCGTGATCGTGATTCCGCCTACATATACATATGTAGGGGTAACGCTGTTATAGCCCGAAAGTTATAGCCCAATTCAGACCTGAGCCCAAAATTGAAAAATACCATATTTCCTATGGTTCGATGGCAGCTAAATCGCTCTGATTTCGAATATTAAAGCATACTCCCGACACGAAAATTGCAGCTGTATAGGCTAATATTTAATTAATAATCATTACTCAACTTTAATATTAATTTGGGGAATTTGTAGTGTTCAATGGATATTGACTAGCATTTTCCATTGTGACGTTCAGCATCTTCTGAAACTCATCTTCTTCTTTGTCAGCTTGTGTGTCGACCACTTATGCTGATGCGTGCGTGTTCTCTGGTATACCTTACCTTAACCTATATTTTTGAATAAATTCAGTTCTGACATACCCAAGTAACTTTTGAATTATAAGTACTTACTAATTCTCGTATAAGTAAGTACCTCTTGTGGCTCTGTTTTCCGTGCACACTGCAAGCCGAAAGATTTCCAAGTAACAAAAATCAATACGATACCAACCGCTTAGAGTCCTTTAATGTGGTTTGTTTTTTACATCGTCATCATCATCCCGGACAAACTTAATACGGGCTGAAAAACGGAGTTTTCCCAAGAAATTTGTGAGTATTTTGCATTTTCTTTCGAAATTTCTTTCATGTTGCGGTATAAATTTTGCTGATACTCGTACTCGTCTTCCAGAGAGCTCTGGGGTAAAATTATTTAATACTGTTTCGGCAGTGCTTTATTCCATTGAATTTTTGTACTTTCGGTACTGCTCCCATTTTAAATTGCTGAAAATAAATGCCGGAATTGTTGGCCAATTCTTCGGTCTTAAAGTTGTCGAACTTTGACTTTATGACAAAGTTCTAATAAACTTTTGCTGTTCCCACATTCCCCCGCCAGTACACATTCGTACACACATGCGTATACGTATACCTGTGGAGAAATGCCAGCAAATTGCTTACATAATAAATAATAATAATAGCGTGCGATTTTTGGCGCAATTTAAATTTATTTATGGCACTTGTTTGTTTGCATGTCAGGCGCAAGTTTTAGCCAGACATTTTTGTGCCCGCAGCCCGCAGCCAGCAGCCAACAGCAGTCAACAGCCCACAGCCCACATTCCGCAGAGATTCGACAGACGATGGAACTGGAACTGGAGCTGGAGCTGGAGCAGGCAGTGACCGTTACCTGGTTGGGATGAAGAGATTGGGTGTGCCTGGGATGGGATTTGGGGTGTAAGTTGTGGTACGAGTAGTCAGGGCAGTCAGTCCTTGTGCTCTGGCAGATTTGCCTATTTTTATCATTGCGGCTGATCCAGGGTTGCCCTGGCAACTTGCCTGTGCGCCAAAGCATTTAATCTGCTTAGTGGGAGCGATGTCGACTCATAAATCCTGCTTGTGGCATGGCCATAGCCATGGATGTCCTCGACCTGCTGCCTGCTTATCGCATTCCCTAATCGAACAGCGAGTGCAGACAGACAGAGACAGCGACAGCGACAGAGAGACAGAAAGAGAGAGAGAGAGAGACCGACGGAATCAGAGGCAGAGGCAGCTGGGGAAGATGGGCTGCTTAAATGGCAATTAGGTAGGGGAACACTTACTGACAGCTTCGCTTAGCTGTTATTGCGGTTGCTGCCTGCCACCAGATGATGTCATCAGAGTGTTGGAGACAAATTAATACCATCTCGCTCGGCAAACAAGAAATATACATTTGCAGGCTCACAAAACAATGCAAACAATGGTCGCACTTAGCAATTATGCTTGCCATTGGGGTTCACCAAGGTAAAACGGGGTCACCAATCAGATGCAATGAACAGCAGCCTCCTTAATGCTTTAAAATGAGTGATTGCGAACCACAGTATTATAGATTTATGGCCATCAACTTTGCTCTATTAGTTAAAATCCATAACTTAACAGCAATTATGCTTTTTAGTCGTGGTCACCAGGTTGTCACGATTCTTCTATCAAGAGCTGTAATAGCCCCCAATTTTTGTTATCAGACCGAGGAAGAGTCACTAGCTATCTGTAAAGAATCCAAATAGTTAATAAAAGCCACTTGAAGTCCGCCACTTCGACTTAATCCATACAATATCTATTATCAGGAGAGAGTTCTGAATTCAGCAGCAAAGACTAACAATAATCGGGGTTACCTGGAGGAAAAGGCGCCACGAAGCTTATTTACAGAAATCATTTAAAGTGACTGCATACTCCTCCGTACACCAGTCATCCATTTATGGAAACATTCTTTGCTTTGATGATGGGAAAATGAATTGAAATGGTCTGAAATGGTTTAAAATGATCAAATCAAGCCAGAGCATAAAGCTTCAATTGTGTGTCAGAAGTGCGCATTCCTGGGCGATTAACATGATTAATGGGCAGTTCAAACAAAACAGCAAAGCAGCAAAACAGCACTTTGAAGACCAGCCCCCACTTGTTGGGTTTGAGTGT